GAAGGCTGCTCTCTGGATATCTGTGGTTGTTATCACCTTAGTTCGCTTATTCAAAAACTTCCCTATTCTTGATCAGTGTTGAGAAAGTGCATGCTCACAAACAGTAAACTTATAATCTATTTCATAAAAAAAATCATTACTAATATTAATGAAATCAGTCTTTCTCTAACACTTCGTTGGGTCAGCCTGAAAACCTTTCCTCTTTTCCTGTCCCCCAGGACTGGAAGACCAGATAAGGGGACGATTCCATCTGACGGGAACACCTCAATTTGGGGTTGTGATTGGCTCCCAGCACTGTTCACCTGGGAAACTGCTCCCTGATCCACAGATCCCACAGTCATGGCTCTCAGCGAGGTGGTCAGGAACTCTAGTCCCTCAAAGTCCTCTCAAAGTGGAGAAGCAACGTTAATGCTGGTTGTTTGTCTATGGCTTTGCCCCAGTGAAACTGAATTTCAGTGATGTGCTATGATATCATCCCAGAGGAATGATCATTTTTTGCTAGTTCTTTGGACGCTGGAAAGAGGAAGGGAAGCAGGGAAGTCAGCAGAGAAAAAGAAAGGGTAAAGAAGAGAACAAGACCTTACTGAGCACCTAATGTATTCCCTTCAGTGTGTTAAATCAGCTTTAGTCTTATAGCTGCATTAAGCAATAGAGATCTCACCCTGCCCCGAGAGCTCAGTTGGTTAGACCACCGTCTCGAAATGCCAAGGTTGAGGGTCCAATCCCCAGTCAGGGCAGATACAAGAAACACCCAATGAATGAATGTATCAACAAGTGGAACAACAAATCAATGTCTGTCTGTCTCTTCCTTCTCTCTCTCTCTCTGTAAAATACAATCACTAAATAAAAATTTAAAAATAAAATAGAGATCTCCATTTTATTGGTGAGGACACCAAGGCAAATAGTGGTTACTTGCCAAAACCACCCAGTTAATGGTTATCTTTCTGTGGCCTGAAGCCCCCCACCAACCCAAACTCCATGCCTTCAATTGCATTATGCAAAAACATCTAAGTGCAGCTGGAATAGAGGAAGAGGAGTAGGTAAGGGAGAAAAGGGAAAAAGAAAAAAACAAAAACAAAAAGAATGTGAGAAAGCTCTGAAATGCTGCCAATGGTTATTTAAGATTAGTCCTAGCTGAGGTGAGGGTAATCCTAAGCAGACGGCAAGGTAGGCATACCTTGACCCATCATCTTTCAGTTTCCACCTTTCTCATTTCTTAAGAAGCTGTTTGGTAAATTCTCAACTTAATCTCATCCCTCCCAGAGACATTACTATGTAATAAAAAATTTTGCTGCCCTGGATGGTGTGCTCAGTTGGTTACCAGGAGGTTGCCAGGTCAATTCCCAGTCCAGGGCACATGCTGGGGTTCTGGGATCAACCTCTGGCAGAGGCTATGCAGGAGGCAGCCAATCAATGTTGTGCTCTCACATTGATGTTTCTCTCTCTGTGTCAATCCCCCTCCCTTCTACTCACTCTAAAAAAACAATGAAATAATATCCTTGGGTGAAGATTAACACTAAAAATAATTGCCAAAAGTATAATGACAATTTTCTGCAAAATACATTTGAGAGAGAACATTTATTTGCTTAGTAAGGTGATCCAGCTTCCAGGTTAGTCTCGTAAGCAGGAGGTCTGGGTTTTATTTTGCAGAGGCAATTTTCTTGAGTATTTGTTTCGGTTTCTAAAATATAGCAATTTTAGGTTCCTGACACTCTGTCGCCTTTCACTCTGTTTTTTAAATGGAGAGGAATTCTTTCTGTGGAGGAAGCCCTTCCCTATCTCTATAGCAATCTGATTCGAGGTCCTGTAAAGATGTTTTGTTTCTATTTCAGTAGAAAAAAGAAAAGAAAAAAAGAACCAGAAATGAAGAATACACTAGAAGAAATCAATAGCAGATTAGATGAAGCAGAGGATAGAATTTGTGATATGAAAGACAAGGTATCAGGAAATACCCAATTAGAGCAGCAAAAACAAAACAAAACAAAACAAAACAAAAAACCCCCATTTTTTAAAAGTGAGATAGTTTAAAGATCTGGGAAAACATGAAGAGCAACAACATCTGCATCACAGGGATACCAGAATGAGAATAGCGTAAGCTAGGGATCAATAATCTATTTGAAGAAATAATAACTGAAAACTTCCCTGACCTGGTGAAGAAAAGAGACATACAGGAAGCACAGAGCATCCCAAACAAGATGAACCCAAAGAGGCCCACACCAAGGCACAGCATAATAAAGGTAAAAGACAAAGAGAGAATCTTAAAAGCCACAAGAAAAAGACAGTTAGTTACATACAAAAGAGCTTCCATAAGACTGTCAGCTGATTTATCAATAGAAACATTTCAGGCCAGAAGAGACTGGAACAAAATATTCAAAGTAATGAAAAGCAAGGACCTACAACCAAGACTCTTCTACCTGGCAAGGCTATCATTTAGAATTGAAGGAGAGCTTCTCAGACAAGAAAAAGCTAAAGAAGTTCATTATAATTAAATCAGTAATCACAAGAAATATTTCAGGGGCTTAAGAAGAAGATGAAGAAAAAAGAAACATAATTGAAAAGAATGAAATGGCAATAAATAATCACTTTAAATGTACATGGATTGAATAGTCCATTCTAAGGACCTAGAGTAGTTGAATGTGGAATGACCAGTCGCTATGACACACACTGACCACCAGGAGGAAGACACTCAATGCAGGAGCTGCCCCTGGTGGTCACTGCACTCCACAGGGGGAGCACTGCTCAGCCAGAACTCAGGCTCATGGCTGGAGAGCACAGTGGCGGTGGCAGGAGCCACTCCCGCCTCCGCAGCAATGCTAAGGCTGTCTGACTGCCAGCTTAGTCCTATGGGGAGTGGGCCTAGCCAGCAGTCGACATCCCCCAAGAGCTCCCGGACTGTGAGAGGGCACATGCTGGGCTGAGGGACCCCCTTACTCCCGAGTGCATGAATGTCATGCACTGGGCCTCTACTGTTGTCTATAAGAGACTCACCTCAGAACAAAAGACACACCCAGGCTGAAGGTAAAGAGATGAAAAAAAAAATATCATGCAAATAGAAACACAAAAAGGTGGGGTAGGACATTACATAATGATAAAGGGATTAATTCAACAAGAGTTATAACTCTTACGAACATTTATGCCTCCAACATAGGAGGACCTAAATATATAAAGTAAATATTGATGGACATATAAAATAAATATTGATGGCTGATGTTCCCAGTGGTTAGAGCGGTGGCCTGTGCACCGAAGGGTCAGGGATTTGGGTTGCAGGTTTGATCCCCAGCCCTGAGCACGTGTGGGAGGCAACTAATCTGTCTCTCTCATATTTCTCTCTCTCTGTCTCTGTCTCTCTGTCTCTCTCCCCCTTCTTTTTCTTTCCTCCCTTCCTCCTTTAAACGCTCTCTAAAAATCAATGGAAAAAATATCCTCAGTTGAGGAATAACAAAATAAATAATTTTTAAAAATTAAAAAAAGATATTCACCAATGTTACACCTAATAAGGGGTTAATATCCAAAATTTGTATAGAACTCATATAACTCAACACCAAAAAAACAAACAATTAAATCCAATTAAAAATGAGCAGTGGACCTGAATAGACACTTATCCAAAGAGGACATACAAATGGTTAATAACATATGAAAAGATATTCAATATTTCTAACCATCAGAGTATTGAAAATTAAAACCACATTGAGATACCATCTCACACCTGTCAGAATGGCTAGCATTAATAAATCAACAAATAACAAGTGTTGGTGAGGATGTGGAGCAAAAGGAACCCTCATCCACTGTTGGTAGGAATGCACATTGGTAGCCACTATGAGAAATAGTATGAGGTTTCCCTAAAACTTAAATGGAATTGCCTTATGACCCAGTGATTCCACTTCTGGTTATATATTTAAAGAAGCCCCAAAACACTAACTCGAAAGAATATATGCAACACTATGTTCACTGCAGCATTATTTACCAAAGCCAACATATGTAATCATCCCAAGTGCCCATCTATAGATGAGTGGATACAAAAGCAGTAGTACATATATGCAATGGAATATTACTCAATCATAAATAAATAATGACATCTTATCATTTGGGAGAGTATGGATGGACGTAGATAGTCTTATGCCAGGTAAAATGAATGAGTCAGAGAAAGACAAATACCATATGATTTCATTTACACTGGAATGTAAAGAACAAAAATAAATAAACAAACAAAACAGAAACAGGCTTATAGATACAGAGAACAGACTAATGGCTGCCAGACAGGAGGAGGACTGGGGAACTGGGTAAAAATGGTAAAGGGATTAAGAAGTACAAATTGGTAGTTACAAAATAGTCATGGGAATGTAAAGTACAGCATAGGAAATATAGTCAATAATATTGTAATAACTAAGTATGTTTTCAGGTGGGTACTGGAAATATCAGGGGGATCACTTTATAAAGTACATGACTAACCACTATGCTGTACACCTGAAACCAAAATAATATTGTATGTAAACTGTAATTGAAAAATAAAACAACAAACATGAGTAGGGAAACCTGACAATTTCTTCACATTTTTGCATGACTATTTGACGAAAGAATAAGTGGATTTCCTCTAGAAGCAGAATTAGGTGGGTGCCATTTCAGAAAGTCATATTTTCATTCATTTGTAGTGGAACATCCTTAGAACTGGGAATTATGTGAAACAGTTCAGCCCTTTTCCCTACCAGGGTCTAGATCAGGGGTGGAGAACTTATTTCATCTGTTAGAGATAACACAAAGGAATTCCTTGTAATGAACAGTATGAACCAGAGCATCTCTAAGGGCTTTTTTAGCTCAAAGGTTGTGACTTTGTTTTCTAAAGGGTCCTGAGTTAAATTAATTCAAGTATGCAACTGAAGTTGCAGGAGAAGATAAACTTAAACAGCTCTAACAATGACAATGGTATTTGACAGAGAATGAATATGACAAAGAACACAAGCCAACATTGACCAAAATAACATATTTCAAATATTTATACTTACAACAATAAAAAAATGATTCCAATAATTTGACAATGCTTCAATCAGGAGGCCTACACCTTTTAAAATTTCTTAGAAACACCATCTCTGTGTTTGTCTTCATTCTATGAGAAAGCACAGATATCTTGAAATAGCTGCAATTACTTAAAAAAATTGAGATACTGTATTCACAGAACTTCTCCATCAAAAAATATAATATTAGAAGTAAATTTTCATAAATCAGTTCACTTTCCACACTGTGACACATCTTGGCAAAGCTATATATACAGAATCTCACTCACAGATTAGATCATACTCACTCCCCGAACTCCCTTAAATGACAGAAAATTTTCTATAGAAATTTAGGCATAACAGATTTAAAATCCCGTGTCTACAGTACATTGATGAACACTTAGCTTTCCCCAACCAATCTACAAATGTTAGTTTCCCTCACTTAGTCCTCATACAGTTGGTCTTGCTTGCATTTACCAGATGTCCTGTCAGACCTTGTAATTTCTGCACTCTCATTTAAAACCACACATCTGTCCAAATGAGAAGACTCAACACTCTTAAAACTTAGCCTACGGATTTCATTAGAAATAGTCACAAGTAAATAACTTTTAAGACACAGCTCAGACATAGAGCTAAATTTCTCTGAAATTATGATATTTATTAAATGTAGTTACCCTTTTATATTCATTTTTTTACCTTTGAGGATTAATAAAAGCCATTCTTAGTATCTTCTTCAAATAATCATTTGCAATAGTTTAAATTACATATGCATTAATGAATTTGAAATGTGACAACATTCTAAAACAAAAATTTTTTAAATTTGGTGTGAAAAATTTTAGTGCCTATATAACCTCTGAATGTTGCTGGGAAGGTTAGTACACATTTGATATTTTCCCTGAAGATATGATCCTCATTTAATATGGTTTATTAAATACCTGAAATCCACTCACTGACCCCAAACTGTATTTCAGATATTTTTTAGCAATAATCTTGCTTCCTTGTCATTTTTCAAAGATAAAAAAAATTGGACATATCTGAAAGTTAGTTTGGATTTACCAGTGTATGTGTAAAGCCTGCTTAGTAATTACTAACCAGTATCAAGTTATTTTGCAGGTCAGAAAGCACAGTTAGTGTGTAGGACAAACGAGCTGTATACTCATTCATGGTTAGCACCACCAGGCCATGACTTTCTCATTCACATTTTTCAAAGGCTTAGAGCATACGATATACACCTGCATTTATGTGCAGCAAGCATGATAAAGACATTTGGTGTGTGAAACATTTTACATATTCTCCCATTGTACTGCATCTGTAATGTGCCAGAAAAGTAATTAGTGCATCATTCCAAAATGCTATTTAGCCATGACGAGATTTCTGGCATACAATACAGCTTTTAAAAAATATTGCAAATACATCTTCTACTTTAAACACAATATTTCTATGAAAGCAGAGAAATACAAATCTCTATCTATAGTACTATTTTTAAATAATCATAGTGAGAAACTACTATAACCAGTCTGTCAGAGAACGATAACTCACTTCAGGTTCACCATATTTATTCTAACTGAAAATTATCTGTAAAGAACTTCTGTCTTTTTAAGAATTATAAACTTTTCCTCAAATGCAGATTTCCTTTGATGAGTCCCTTGTCAATAAAAGAGCAAATAAAAATCTATTATTAATGGTATCTACTATCTAGTTTCCTAGTTTCAAATAACTTTCATTTATATTAATTTATGTCATGCTTACAATAAGCCACTGAGATAAATATAATTTTTCATATTGCGATATTATTTTTCATATTTATAAGCATAGAAAATAAGGCAGGCCCAAAGACATTACCATGTCCCAGTTGACAAAACCAGGAAAAAATAGATATAAACAAGAACCTAGGTCCTCAGACTCAAATCTCAAGCCTTGTCCACCAGACCACACTGTCTCATTCAATCCATTTACTATGCCAGTCTTGGTTCTCTCAAACACTAAAGGAAAAGCTGAATATTTAACTGTCTTTTTCAACTGCAATGGACTGAATATTTGTGTCCCCACCACGTGAGAAACGTAGCCCCCAATGTGATAGTGGTAGAGGTGATGCCTCTGGGAGGTAATTAGGTCCTGAGGGAAAGCCCTCCTGAATGGGAGTAGTGTGCCTATAAAAGGAACCCTAGTGAGCTCTCTTGCCCTGCTACCATATGAGGACAGAGCAAGAAGGTGGCTGTCTATGAACTAGGACTGAGCTCTCATCAGACACAATGTATCTTGAACTTGGACTTTCTAGCCTACAGAACTGTGAGAAATACATGTTTGTTAAGTCACCCAGTTTATATAGTAGTTTGTCACAGCAGCCCCAACTGATGAAGATACCAGTTTATCCCCACATCTGCACTGTAACTGGGTTCTACTACAATCTTTTGAAAAACAGGGATGCAAATGTACAGTTTGCTGCCATGTCTCCAATCACAGATTACATAATCTACTTTCTCAGCTAACGTTTTCCCCTACTAAACATTTTCCATTGATCTACGAGTAAATATATAAATAAATAACATCTGAATGTAATGATGTATGAAAAGTCTCAAGCCTTCCACTATATTAACTGATGTTAATTTTTCTCATTGAAGTGTTTGACTGGAGAGCGAGAGCATAGCTGTCCTTTGTCATTACAAAATGCAATACCGTTTCTGTGTCTAGGAAATTTTTTCCAGACGGTATTATTGCAAACAATGAGGATTCAATTCAAATCAGATCTCTATTTCTAATACACAAATGCACTAAATCAGTTCAAAGAAACAATGTTAAGAGTAAAGGATTTTATGGTCCTAATCCCATTCCTTTAGCTTTTAAACCTCATTAAAAAATCATAAAATCTTTTCAAAGCACATGAATTTCATTTGACAATCTCACCCCAAAGTCTCTCAGACTGGAACAACAACACTCAAGTTAGGCATCTTTACTTTCCACTAGTCCTTACTTTACTTTGAAAGCATTTCCAAAATAACCAGTGACAAAATAAACAAATGATGATCAGATGGTATTTAGAGTCATTGTATGCTAAGAACTGGCGGATACTTCAAAGATCCCTGTTCTCTGACCCCAGGCAGGGCTATAGCTAAACAATTCAAAATGGGGTTTTGTCTTCTTACTCTCACTGAAAATTGATTTTAAAGTCTTATATCCCTTCAAAATGTTTAGTACTACTTCAAGATGTTTCTTGGGGCGATCATACAGCTAACTGAAATTTAAATTCACCTCTTTGAGTTCTCTCTCTGGGAAACAAAGCATCAGTATCCCTGATAAATTTGTTCCTTTATTTTAAATAACCCCTTATTTTAAATAACTCCTTGAGAGGAGTTTTGGGGGTTAAGGTGAAAAAAGGTGATGCGATTTAAGGAGCACTGATAGTTACTGTTAGGTCCATCAACTGATGGAATTCATACCTCCTCCCCTAGGAAAATGACCTTTAGATCATTTTGCAATGGACTTGCCCTTTTGCTTAGACCACATTCCGTTTACTAAGACCAGTAACTTTCCCCTTTGATTGCCCAGGATCTGGACCTGCCCAGAGAATTCCCTACTGAGAAAAAGTCCACCTAGAATCCTTTAAAATCTCTGACTCCCCTTTCCTGGGTGCTGGCACATTTGGGGCTCAGCCCATCTGTTTTCCAGATGACCTAAGAAATTCATAATTCTTTATGTGTTTTGGCCTCATGCACACCTCCTTTGGCGACCCTAACAGTTACAAAATAGTCCTGGGGATTTAAAGGAAAGCATAGGGAATATAGTCAACAATACTGTAAAAGTTATCTATGGTGCCAGGTGGGCACTTGAATTATTGAAGGAGACACTTTATAACCAAATTAATGTCTATCTGCTCTGTTGTACACTTGAAAGTAATACAAAATACTGTTGCATCCAAACTGTAATCGAAAAATAAAATAATAAAGAATACCTTGAACTACTCTTTAGAGATCTGAGAAGTACCCAAATGATCACTAGCAAGACACTTAGTATGCCAGTTTATATCCCTTACCAATTGATTCAGATCATGTCAATACTGTGTAGCAACTTTCAAATAACAAACACCCTTCCCAAATTTAGTTGTGCTTTTGAGACCTAGAATGGAACTAAGATTTATCTAGTAAAGTGTTTCTCTCCTTTTAATATCCACAAAAAGCACTGGAGAGCTTATTAAAAACACAAAGTGAGTGGTCCTACCCTCAGAGTTTCTGGTTCATTAGGTCTGAAGCAGGCCCCACGAATGTGCATGTCTAACAAATTCCTAGCTAATGTGGCTGCTGCTGGTGCAGAGACCATTTATAAGTATCACAAATCGATGACAGCAGTTCTCAATTTTGGCTTCACATTAGAATCACCTGGGGCACAATAAAATGAAACCTAAATCCAGGCCCCGCTCCCATGGAGCAATTCAAGTGGTCCAGGTAAGGCCAAAATTATTATTATTATTACTATTTCTAAATCTTTGGAGGAGGAGAAAGCCCACCAGAAAGATTGGCAATAAAATATCTGGGAAAAGTGCCTACCTTTTAAGTCTTCTGGACGTTTCCCTAGATGTCTAGGGTACCTCCTCCTTAGCGCCACAGACTGTTAAAGCACAGCTACCATCTCCCCCATAAGCCTCAGAGGCTCAGCTATGTGAGGCAGGGAAATAGCGAGTCACTGACTCAAGAATTGCAGGACGGTTGGAGGAGGAGGAATTAGAAACAAAGAGGCTATTTCAACCATGTGGGCCAGAAATAATAAGGAAAATGTTTAATGTATTTGAAAAGAAAGCAAAGAATGAACTAGTCACTGTAAATGAAAATTCACACCACTGGCCAACACCAAGTAGAGAAGCAGGAGTCAAGTAGATTCAGATTTTGGTCCTATGCTATTGTAGTGCCTTCCACAGTTTCTAGCACACAGTGCGCCATAAATATTTGTACATTAAAGAAGTGACCCTACAAAAATGCAAAAGGCAGAAAACAGTACGTTCAGATGTTTAGGAAGGGTGTCTCTCTCTGCAGCCTTTGCAGAGAGAGGCTGCAACTCATCGCATACAGATGGGAAGGATCTTGGCTGGCTATTTTGCGTATTCCAAACCTTAAAGCCTTAA